ATTGACCTTTCACACGAACAATAGCATGCGAGCGGTTTAATTAGGCGTCATGGGGCTTTCCAGCAAAGAAAATACAACATCACAAACTTTTCCTTGGCGAGTCGAATCAGAAATTTTAAAGCAGCTTTCAAAGTCTTTTTCATAAGATTTGGAAGGAGAAAAACGTCGGGAAGTGCAAGTTTTACAAATACAAATAAAAACAAATTTGTATTTACGCGCCTTACTGCTGACCAATCCAACAAAAAAAACGGGCTCAAGTTTGAACAAAAACATAGAACAATGAGTTCCCTATCTTCTCTTCTATTATCTATGTGCTGACAGTCTTGCAGATGGTTTGACCTCTCAAGATTGTTGACCTGTTGTGCACATTTACATTATTTAATCGGGATTCATAATTCAGCAGCAAAATGGCAAAGGTTTCAGTGACATTAAGCCAAAATGGCGGATATCCTTGCGAATATCCCTTTGCAAAGGTAAATATACACACCACACCAAACAGGGACATTTTTCTCCGCACGTTTTCTGTGGATCTTCGCCCCAACCTTTTTTTGGTAAAATTTCGCCAAACGCACGCTAAACTATTTGCCTAATTTGCACACATGTAAATTGGTTAAAGACGTTAATTTGGCGTACGTTAGGCTAAATTTGCAAAAAAAATCATCAGAAATATGTAAACCTAATGACCAGTTCTAACAAATGAACGCTCAATCTGCATTCTTAACATTCGGGCCAACATCCCTACCTCCAAACTCATCTCCACCCACAACACCATCTTTATGCTCATCACTAAAAATAAAAATTCACTGAGTGATCAAAATCACCCTGGATCACGAAGTGCCTGTTGGGACCTTTTTTCCATTTAATTTTCAAACTCACATTTTAAGAGAGGCCATGGAATCATTCATCTGTGAAGGGAAAATGCAGTCAAAGTGTTATTTCTGTTTTTAAAACAAATCAACAATGTTAACGCCCAGCTTAGTACTGCTAAGTGAATGGCCATTAAACAAAATATACGAAAGGAGAATTTATTTACGTTTCATCGCAACGCGCGACATAGCGACAGAGCAGCCACTGGTTAGTTCACCTTTCAAGAGCTTCCCGAGGCAATCTTTTTTTGCAACTCTGTGTTTGTGGGCTAAATATGGAAATCATGTGCAACGCTAACCTACTCCCGTCTCAACAGAAATCGTCCACTGTGAACCGCTGTAAGATTGTTTCAATATCTGTCAAAGAGAACACAAAAACAGACATTAAAGCCCAGATCAAATGAGTCATATCTTTCGATGCTCAGACTTCTGAAGTGAATCATGACAGAATTTATATGTAGTAACGTTTAACTCTTTCTCGACATGTGACATTTTTCACGGCAAGCAATATTTTGATTCAACCGTTTTATAACGTAAATATTTCAGTGCGTATTCACCCCCCTTAAAAACAAAGAACACCATTGGAATCTTAACAAAATAAGCTTTTCATCGGGGGGTCTAATGCCGTCAAAACAAATACACAAACCGAAACAATCATATATTTACTCACCACTTGGCCAAACATTCTGTATTTTCATATGGAGAAAATGTTGAATATTTTCTAAACTCTTCAGTATTCGCCGCAAGTTAATGTTAGTGAAATATTCCTTGTATTCAAGCGCTTTTATGTAGAAAGTTTCGTTTGAATACGGCGAGTAGAAATGTTTATTTTGTTTTTTTCAAAATATCGGGTTTCATCGGGTTTTTACTCGCACGCGCGTGCTGCATGTAAAATTGGCCAATAAGGGGTCTCCCGTAGCCCAGTGCACGTGAAAAGCACGCTTCAGATGTAATTTGACCTTTAGAATCGATTTCCGATGTTTTCCGAACGCTAGGATGTAAACACGCGATGTTTTGGCAGATCTAAAATGTATTTCCGGTTAAAATATCCCGCTGATTTCATTAGTTTCGCAACAGATTGAAATACCGAAATAAAAGACGAAAAACTAAGGCTACAAGCTTGAAAATAACACTTTCAATAGTGTTTTTGATTCTGTTTCGAATAAGACTATAGCGAAAACGATATCTCAAAAGGGGCCGAAGTTATGTTCGGCAAAAGGTATTGATAGTTTACATTGTTCGAGACAATTGATTAATATAATGAAATATGACACCGCTTGACCTGTCGAAAGGTCATAAATTGTTATACAATTTCACTAAAATTATATTTGACTAAAACTATCGACAGGTATAGGAGATATTGTTTCACTGAATCGAATGGTGGTATTTTCATCTACATAGCATGCACCCAACTGACGATATGACCCTGCAAAGTCGTAAATCATGAGTGATTTACTTAATAGGGACCTGTCGGGAAAGAGTTAAAAAGAAAAGGAAACAACAACCTTCGTTCTCATCTCTCCGTTTACACAGCTAGAGCCTAAAGGTGCCGATAAAATGGAAAAAAACCTGGCGGTCTAATTTGTATCGCAACAAAAGATCATTTCAACTACATAATCATAACGGCCTTTTCAGTTTCTCAATATCTTTCCTCGTGCTCAAGATATTTCTGTTTTTAAAATATATTGTAGCTAGTCCAATATCTGTTTGTTTCTTCACTAAACGTGCAGACTCAATCGATATTCAAGACTCAATCAATATTTTGCAAACGAGAGAAAATATTGTGAAACCGAAGAACGCCTTGATGGTTTATTAGAGGCACTTTCAGTAATAAACAAGCACTTTACTTGCTACAGGGGAACTCGGGACGGAGACACATTGACGTCGACTCTCTTTCCAACTGTGTAGGCTCTGACGTCCCTTGCAGCTATTCACAAAACAGCCATAATTAATATGTTTTTTTGTAAACATGTACGGGTTTTCTAAAATCTCAGAACATGCATTAACTAATGAAACCATGCGCATAGCATTTGCCAGATATATTTTACTATTTCTGCGGGAACCAAAACAATTACTTACAAATAACAACAACATACAAATACTTACAATGATTTGTAAGTTAGGATCCGCAATTGTGGTAAATGTTCCCACAGTTTATCACCAAAAATTTTTAACATGGCATTTACATCTCCCATAGCTCTGTGACGATCTAAAAAACATAAAATTTATTTAATAATGTGAGTAAAACAGTTTTTTCACTAAACTAACAATTACTATATCGCCGACTTTGCTTCACAGCAAATTTTTCTCCAGGATAAAAAAGGCTATAGAGCCCATCCATGCCCAACCTCGCTGTGTCCTGGAGCTCGGGCAAATCTTCTTGTTGTAGCTGAAAAAAAATATGAAAAAATACATCAAATAAATATAAATAGATTTTAATTATGTTAATTGGACATGTATAACTCACTTCTTGGCACAACAGAAATGTATCTGCAAAGGCCAGATGCAGATACTTCATTTTGTAAAAATGGCCAACATACCGGCCAACATACCGCTCCACATTGCGTATGAAAATTTCAAAATCGAACTTGAAACCTCCATGCGCACACAATACTAAAAAAAAAAAAATCACACATGATAGGTTTTTGCAACCACACATAACATGCACAATTGAACTGGCTTTTTAGGCAGTTATCTTTAATGTTTGCCTTAACCCTTAATGTTTCCGCAACAGCCATACCTGGGCGAACGTCCTTGGATATATCACTTTTTTATACCATTCACGCGCCTTTTGTACACGATTTTTAAGCCATTTCATCATATTTTTGTAAACAACTTTGAATTCATTTATGTTAGGATCAATAAGCCTTTTCTTTGTTATGCCAGATTTCACAGCTAAAAAGAAAACAAGTTTCACTGAGGACACCGTTCACACGATGTCTGTTTCGAGTTTGTTTTTATACTTATTTGAACAGGGTCTACAGGGTGTCCCCCAAAAAAATGTGAGAGAGAAAGAGAGAGAATGGTACACGGCAAATAATCCATGCGCCATTTTTAACTATGTTTTTGGAAGTTACCTATTCACCCAATGGATAGTTAACTTTAACTACAGTTAACTACTTTTTTATACAACCGACTTAACTATGTGGTTAAAGTTAAATGCTGTTTGGCCACTTACTAAATTTTGATAGCCTATGCTTGGTTTTCACCAAACATTGAAATGATCGCTCCTGCTTGCAGGTCTTTGGATCAGTTTTCATAGCAATTTCTACGATATCTCCATCCTTCGGGTTGCCTGACGTAGCTTCCACATCAAAGAATATATACATGTCCATTCTTACCTGTCAAAACCACAACTGTGATTTGAGTCATACAATTTAATACTACATAAAACTACTTGATCAATCTTAAATGTCTTTGCTATAGAATGGTCATCAATCAAAATTTGACGTTTTTGGCAAAAATAATCCAACCGCTGCCCAGCTCCTTTGCCAGAAAAAACTACAACAAACTTTCACAAGCTACGGTGGACGTGGACAAATGAAACATGTTCCGATTTTCCCTCCCTCGCGTACCAAAGAATAAGATATGACAAGTAAAAACGGTCTTTCAATAAAATTCAATTTCGTTTAGGACATTACGAAAATTTTTATTCTATATATCGATAGATCATCTCTACGGAATACTTAATTTCCTAGTTTAAGCTGCCCAACACGTTTAGTTGCTGAGCAAATTGATGAAAATGTTCAACAGTCGTCCGCTAAAGGTTTCGTCTTGTGGAAAACACCACGTAAATTTAAGAATGCAAAGCTTTCGGTCCGTATGCCCAGACCGTCATCAGTGCTAATAAATTTATCATTTATTAGCACTGATGACGGTCTGGGCATACAGACCGAAAGCTAGTGGTTTTTTTCGTCGTCGAGAAATCGAGTTTCCATCGGTGCATCGCAGGCACGCGTAAAATCATAGTAAAATTACTACAAAAAAGGCTTCTGATTTTTACCTTTTTCTTACACGAAGTAGTACTAAGTTTCGAATGTTCCAATTTACTATACAGATCAGTTTTCAAGATGGCGTCCAGGCAATGAGCGACTGTTTCAGTTTCAAACAAATAGCGAATACTGGGACTGACTGACTTATTCTGAGCAAGGCCGACTGGGAGCAGGGCCAATAAAAAGCAAAAAAAAACTGTGACAGTTTCTATATGGTAGATGCAAAATATGGAGATTAGAGTCACACCGCGATTGATTGTACGGGTAAATAAATAAACGTTTCTATATGGTAGATGCAATAGAGGGGCAGATCCAGGAATTTTCGTACGTTAGTCAAAAAATTAAATGTCATTTCCAGGTGTGTCGTTTTTAGGACTATTATTTTTAATATTATTATTATTTTTAATATTAATTTATTAAACCACGACAAGAGAACAGTGTTTAATAATATGTATGTTACATTTAATTTCCTGATTCACAATGATGAAATTACAGTATCACGAAGTAAAAAATAACAGTCTCGCCCGTTATAAATATATGCAGTATGTAGCCATTATCAATATAGGAACGCAAACACAAACTGTCATAAATATATATTTTGTACCCGACAATACTCTTATCGATATATGCAATATGCTTTTTAATAATATGCAATGCCAATGTTTTAATAGGATGCGTGTAGACCCATGGCAGGTCGACATCCTTGAGTGCGCACAGTCGAATAAGCACATATTAAATTACATGCAGCAGACCACGCTGTCAAAACAACATTAGCAACTGTTTATACTTATAGTATTTTGTAGTGCGACATGGATTTAGTCCTTAGTCGATATAATAAATATCTCCCATGTTAACGATACGTCCATTCAAGAATAAATACAATGCTAATAATAGTAATATGTGTATGACTTTATAAACCATCTTTCAACCGACCGCGGAAATATGTAAATTTCTGCTGTAGCTAGATATTATTATTATAATATTCGGAATTACTAGTATATTCGCACGGCCTATATAAATTTAGCTATCCGTATTCACTATGTGGTACATCAATCGCACTCTCGAAACCAGTATAACTAATATAAATACCAATGCAATATCTTTACCTCATCGCTGTCAGTTGTAGCACATTTTTTCGCGTCCATTTATATGTTTCGTTTATGAACATGCTATGAGTGCTGAGGCAGAAATTTGTGCTGTTTAATCGTCTTCTATGGCATCCAAACAGAGCAATAGTTATGCGATAGAATTCCTGCATGCTATATCGTTTTTACTGAAACACGGACTTTACTATAGTATATTGATACTTTGAATACAAATAACCACTAACCACTAAGCAGTCAGATCAGTCGGCAGTCTGCAGAGACGAATATCCCACGCTACGAATCCGTCGAAAATTTTAGCCAATAACAGTGAAGTATTTTTTTTAAAATTAACCAATCAGAAGGTTTATATGGAGCCCCTGATAGTGCAAATCCGTCAGGCCTCCCCACGGATCCGTCGCAAATGGTCGTATCCATGGAGATGAGCGTATCCACCAATCAGATGGCTGGATTCCACACCCGAATCCGTCGAAATTCATGCGAAAGACCGCTGTTGCTTGACTGACTAAGATTACTTTGCAGAAACTCATCCGTAGCATGAAACTTGGACTACGATAACTGGACTCCGATATGAGTACTGGACTACGATATGAATATTAATATTATTAGTAATCTGCTGGATGAAATAGATAACTGGAGTGTAATTTAATTTTCATTTTGAAATTTACATCGGGGTTTTTTACTTCAGTCGTGCGACTGATTTGACGACCCCTAGATCCACCCCTGATGCAATATATGGAGGTTACACAGCTATAGAGGTAGACAGAGGTTAGCAAGAGAGGCAGTTTGACACTGAATCTAGCCGCGATTGATTCATTTGATTGTACGGGTAAATAAATATAAACGTTTCTATATGGTATAGATGCAATATTAGCCTGCTCGCAGACGCATGTAAACTGTGAATTAAAATTTGTGTTCTGCGTCCACACTACCGTTTTCGTAGCGTATTCGACTGTCTAAAACGCTCGAAAACGCTGATCTGATAGTAATGGACAGTCGAATAAGCTACGAAAACGGTAGTGTGGACGCGAATCGATGGGTCGTACTAATTACCGACAAGAAGGCAAATAAATACCGACAAAAAGACAATGACATGCCCTATACGGAAGTAAATTCTATGGACACGTCACGATAAAGCGACCCACCATGTGACGGTAAAGCGACTGAGTAATTCAACCCAGTCGTTGCTATTGGATGAATGCCGTGAATGACTTGAATAAATGAATAACGTGAACAAAAACATAGAACAATGAGTTCCCTATCCTTCTCTTCTATTATCTATGTGCTGACAGTCTTGCAGATGGTTTGACCTCTCAAGATTGTTGACCTGTTGTGCACATTTACATTATTTAATCGGGATTCATAATTCAGCAGCAAAATGGCAAAGGTTTCAGTGACATTAAGCCAAAACGGAGGATATCCTTGCGAATATCCCTTTCAGTTTGCAAAGGAAAATATACACACCACACCAAACAGGGACATTTTTCTCCGCACGTTTTCTGTGGATCTTCGCCCCAACCTTTTTTTCGTAAATTTCGCCAAACGCACGCTAAACTATTTGCCTAATTTGCACACATGTAAATTGGTTAAAGACGTTAATTTGGCGTGCGTAAGGCTAAATTTGCAAAAAAAGTCATCAGAAATATGCAAACCTAATGACCAGTTCTATCAAATGAACGCTCAATCTGTATTCTTAACATTCGGGCCAACATCCCTACCTCCAAACTCATCTCCACCCACAACACCATCTTTATGCTCATCACTAAAAATAAAAATTCACTGAGTGATCAAAATCACCCTGGATCACGAAGCGCCTGTTGGGACCTTTTTCCATTTAATTTTCATACTCACATTCTAAGAGAGGCCATGGAATCATTCATCTGTGAAGGGAAAATGCAGTCAAAGTGTTATTTCTGTTTTTAAAACAAATCAACAATGTTAACGCCCAGCTTAGTACTGCTAAGTGAATGGCCATTAAACAAAATATACGAAAGGAGAATTTATTTACGTTTCGTCGCAACGTGCGACATCTTCAGAACAAGATAAAATTACTTTTGTTTAATGGCTATTCACTTAGCGCTGGGCTTTAATATTTGTATTGCGACTACGTTTTCCGAAAATAATTTTGAAACAAATGATAGCGATATTATATTTATTGAACGACGTTTCGATGCTACAGCATGCATCATTTTCGAGTTACATTTACATTGCGTTGATTTAATTAATTAAACGGTCCGTGTCAACGCAATGTAAATGTAACTTGAAAATGATGCATGCTGTAGCATCGAAACGTCGTTCAAAAAATATAATATCGCTATCATTTGTTTCAAAATTATTTTCAAAAATGTTTTTGACTACATTTTCCGCCTGGTAAATCGATCGCCAAATAAAGAATCATGATTAATTTTTGTTGATTTTTGTTTTGGTATGTGCTGGAAAAAGTTCAACAAGCTAAAAACAATTCTGTTTGTCGGGTTTGTTAATTTGTCGGAACAGTTCTTTGAAAAAATAATGTTGCCGGGTCCTGTTTTCCGAACTTGCTTCAGCTTCAAAAAGTTGTCGTTTTCAAGACTATTTTGCACATTGAAGTGAACCAATGGACAGCTATCTGGGCTGGCGGAACTTTGCAACAATTTGTATTTTTGTACCTGTGCGGTTTTGGTTCTTTTCTTGATTCCTGGAAAAAAATGTGAAAAACCATTCAATCTCTCATGTCGTTCAATAGACCCCTTCAAGGTTATTTCCGCCATATTGCCGGGGGTGCAAACACTGGGGCCTAGCGCGCAGTCACAGCATTTCCCCATTGTAATCATACAAATCGCTGCGAAAAATCAATTTCAACTTTTGCCATTTTTCATCGCGAACGAATGGGAATTGCTCGATTTAACGATTTCTGATGACTCACCCTGTTATATCGGATATATGGACAGGATTTCATTCAAATCAGTTGTCTGTAAGTCTCAAAATTCAACGTTATTGTCGGAGGTATTTGACATGTCCGTAAAAGTTCTATATTCTAGTACATTTCGGTATCTTAATGTGACAAAATAGCTCGTTTTCCGAGTGATCTTGGCAGCCGTATGCACAATCATGGCGGTCGGACGTGTGTTCGGTTCTCTCCACCTGTTAATAACTGTTGTTGGTTTGTTTTCAACAACAGTTCATAGTTGTCGGCTTATTCATAAATTTTATGAATTGGGCAGTGGTGATGGTGAATTTGTCAGTTTTAACGGGCTTCAACCGTTTAATGTTCATGCTAAAGTGCTGAGACAAGATCTCGTGCGTGGTCGAGCGAAGGTTTTCCATGGTCGTAATGTTTTGTACTACAGTAATGCCAATTCATGTCTTCCATGTTGTTTTAGTTTAACAACTCTATTGGATATTGTCCAAACGGCAGAAGTGCGAACGGGACTCGATGTCCCATGCGAGGCACTTCCCCGAGGCACTTCCCCCGCGGCGTGCAACAAGCACTAAACGGTGAAACACCACCGAGAATATACGTTGAATACTCACACTTACAGGCAACTGATTTGAATGAAATCACGTCCATGTATCAGAAATAACAGGGTGAGTCATCAGAAATCGTTAAATTGAGCAATTCCCATTCGTTTGAGATGAAAAATGGCAAAAGTTGAAATTGATTTTTCGCCGCGATTTGTACGATTACAATGAGGACGGCGCGCTAGGCCCCAGTGTTTGCAACCCCGGCAATATGACGGAAATAACCTTGAAGGGGTCTATTGTGTCGAGGTCCATCTGGGCAGGGTGTTCAAACTCATCATGGACACAAATTTGGATCGAAAAGCTTTTAGTTCAGACATGCGAACTGGCTGATACGATTCCGAAATGATCCTTCTGAAATCGTCAAGTTTGACAGGTTGCAATTGGATTGGCTGGTTTAAAAGTTCTCAAATGGGGCATCCCAAAAAGATATCAATGGTTGCAGGCGGTCTTTCAACCTGTGTGCGTCCCGCACACCGCGCAAGAGCGCCAGCTACGCAGGCTCAGAGGCCCTGTGTTGTGTTTTCGCAAGGCAGATAAGTCGCTTAAATCTTGCACAACTTTTCCTAATTCCTAAACAAATAGTTATTACTTTGTTGTTTACTCCTGGACTGGAATTCTTAGCGTCATTAAGCAGGACACTTGGAAAAAAACTTAAAAAAAACACACACCTTCTTTCAATTTCCTCCAATGCCTTCTTGTATGACAGCCTTTTTTTAGGTGGGAAATCAGATGTTGAAGTGAATTTGCAGGCAGTAATCATAAACCTGTTGTTTGAACATCATTTCCAACTGCAATGCACTGTCAAGAGAGTGCCGTTCATTTGTTTACTTGGACTACTTGTTAACTAGATTTCAGTTTAATACGACAAATATATGACATGGGTGGACCTTATGTAGGTGCCTGGTACATGACGGATTTTGTTGAATAAATTAATATGCTGAATTAATAGTGTAGTTTGTATGAAACTATACTCTGTGATTATAGTGAATTTTCCTCGCATTAATGGCTCCTAAAATAGCTGGTACTTTGCTCAATGTTGAATGTTTATTTCATTGATACGACGATCAATGCAAGCATGATATGGTTTCGTTCAAACTACACTATTTTATACGCAAAATCTGAAAGTGGAGCCTGATCGATCAACAATCATTCAATCAACATAATTTTGTGGTATAAGTATAGGAAATTACACGGTTTGAGAAGTATTAATGAAAAATTGCATGCGTGTTTGGCGAAATACCACAAGTGCGAAGCACGAGTACCAGTATTAACCAAGTACCAGATATATGCATACAACATGAGACAGAAGAAAATGTCGGAAGTGAAGAGACAGTCCAGCTAAGTGATTCCCAAGACAACCCTACTGATACAAATTTTGATTCAAATTTTGATAATCTCTGTGCTTCTCTTCTTTTTAATGAAATCAATAGTGATTTAATCGATAGTGAATTAAGTGAAACAATTAATGTAGAAAGTACCAATGCTGAGTCAGCCAGTAGTGATAGTGTAGTGCATGAATCTAAGGCAGAAGATAATGAAGTAAGTCTTAAAACAATTCTCGAACAAAAGAGACATTCCATTTGTAAAACTCAAACAACTAAATTTAACATTTGTCGAAGTAATATTTGGGAGGGAACAAAAAGAGCAATGTTGAGAAAGTCATTTTCGCCATCAATAAGATATCAGTTAAGTTTACTGACGATATTGGTATGTTGGAAGGCGCTGTGGACCTTGGTGGTCCGATGAGGGAATGCATGACATTGGTCTTGGAATATTTAACACATTCTGAACTATTTACTGGTCCTAACAACAGCAAATTGCTGTCATGTAGTGGTAAGTGTTTGGAGGAATCTGAGTACTTTCTCGTTGGTCAGTTAACTGCCATGTCTCTTGTACATGTTGGCATTGGTCCCAGGTGTCTTAGTCCAATTCTTTTTGAATGCTTGACTGGTCATCCGGACAAAGTGTCTGTGCACTTGAAGATGTGTGCGATCATGACGTTAGGTCTCTCTTGAAAGAACTCCTTGATTCGAAAACAATAGAAGAGGTGCAAGATATGATGCATAGTGCAAATTTAGAAACACTTATTGATATTGCAGGAAATTTTAAGGTAGTTAAAAGTTTAGATGATGTTAAGAAGATTGTTAATTCTACTGTTTATTGGTTTGTTTTGGGACGAACTCGTGCTTCTTTGGAGAGTTTTAAAGAAGGACTTGCTGCATTCGACATTCTGAACAGCATTGTTGCAAATCCACTTGCACTTAAACCTGAAATGTGTTTTACAGAGCAGGTGATAACCAATGAAATGATGACCGAACTTTTCTGTGTAAGCAGAAGCGAGATAGGCTCGAACAAGTATGAGTTAGAAAGTATATTACTGTCTTTTTGGCAGGATCTTTTGGTTGATATTGAGGATGGAGATGTTGGTGTTACGTATTCTGACATACTATTTTTTTCCTCTGGGTGCAAGGTAATTCCATCCATAACCTTTCTTCCTGAGATGAAATTCTTGCATGAGGTAGAACAGAATGGATTGCTGTCACAATCACTTGTGCTTCTACCTTATATCTCCCAACAATACACAAGAATTATGATGATTTCAAACAGGCTGTGACATTTGCAGTTGTGAACAGTAAGGGATTTGGTTGTCCTTAAATAACTTACTGTACATATAGATGACATTACTGTACAATTGTATATATTATGTCAATTTATGTGACTTACTGAAGGTTCGGGTGAACGGTGTGGAAATATGTGTACTCAAAGCCATGGGGCAATTGGAGGTGTTTGTTCACATATTCCCATGGTGGGGATCAGGACGTTTGTACATTGACTAGTCTTTCTAATCAACTGCTCTACACATGAAAATTTGAAAGAAACCAACAATTATCAGGCTTAAAACCACAAGGTTGATATTCTATTCAATTAATTTGTGAACTGCAGTACAGTCGTTTATCCAATTAATTTATATGGCATTATAAATAAAAATTCCTTTTGTTTATGATAAATAAAATCCTGTTGTACACTTAAATGCAACAAACACAAACCCACATGCAGGAATTAGCGATAGTGAGCTCAAAGTGACGTTCCGAAAACAGATAACTAATTTTGGCGGCATTTTGCATCATATCACTCGTGTAAGGAAGCAGAATACTTTACAAATCTAATTTAACATTTTTTCATGTGTTGAAGATTACCACATACTGACAGTTTTTAATCCAGTCCTCCCTTGCCAATCTGTGTTGTCAAAACCGATGATTGCTTAAGCTCACTATTGTCTTTTGCAACACTTGGTTTATGCTGTAATTTTTGTTGAACCTAAGTTAATTAATGTTAATTAAAACATTCTATTTCATATGATTCAAATTGAAGTTATTGTTTTATATATACAGTAAATCTAGATTTACCACGTTCTAGTGAACAGTTTACCAGAACAGATGCATAGATTGTATTAGTACTTGTACATATTCTGTATACAGTATCTTTATACTACATGTTTACATTGATATTTCAATTTTGTTAAAATAAAAAATGTTTTACCACTGGTTCATAAATGGTTATAAATTAATACAGGATTTTTTATGTGTGTGTTAGTGTTATGTACTCAGGTGAATATGATGTTTGTGATATATGTTACTCTGAGTGTGCATCCACACCAGGCAAGCTGAAAAGTTTGCTTGGCCACAGTGGGAATCGAACCTGCGACCTTTGGGATAATAGTCCAATGCTCTGTCAGCTGAGCTACGTGGTCAAGTCAGTTCGATTTGATGATATTTCGGTACTGAGGCTAGGCCCTTCAGTATCAGTGTATTCTATGATATGATTATTTTGTGTGTGTTGGTGTTATGTACTCAGGTGAATATGATGTTTGTGATGTTACTCCGAGTGTGCATCCACAATGGGCAAGCTGAAAAGTTTGCCTGACCACGGTGGGAATCAAACCCGCAACCTTTGGGATCATACTAGTCAACTCGGAATAACATCACAAACATAATATTCACCCGAGTATATAACACCAACACACACAAAAAATTGCGATCTTAGAATACATTGATATCGAAGGAACTAGACTCAGTTCCGAATTAATTGGTTATATTTCAGATTCCGAAATATAACCAACTCGAACCTAGTACTAGTAACCCAAAGGTCACAGGTTCGATTCCCACTGTGATCAGGCAAACTTTTCAGCTTGCCCGGTGTGGATGCACACTTAGAGTAACATAATACATGATGTCCTGCACAGTTTCATACCACTCCATACAGTAAGTGGTACAGTCAAGTCGATAGACAAACATGCCTGCTGATGGACAAATATTTGTCAGATGGCCACTCACAATATAAATTTTAATAATGCTGCTTTTACCCACAGTCATACTTTATTATTTTACTCTGTCTATTAATGCCAGACAGTTTTACTCGTCGAGGGGATAATGATACCAGTGAATGGGTCAACATCAATATTTCCTGGGATTTGTTTTACTTTTATGCAATTTTTTGCCATTAAATACTATAATAGTTTTATAGTATGCCTGTGATGTTACTCTGAGTGTATATCCACACCAGGCAAGCTTGAGAAATAGGCCTGGCCATGGTGGGAATCGAACCTACAACCTTTGGAATACTAGCCCAATGCTCTGCCAACTGAGCTACGCAGTCAGGTCGGTTCGAATACTCTCGTTCGAATACTCTCTCGCAACAGTTTCATGTGGTGACTTTCTAATAGTGTGACTATTCCAATGATCTTTCAATTTTTTCATGTCGTCTTGAAGCAGTTTGTGATAGCAATACCACAGGCATTCCATGTGATAAACATTTCCAAGTTCCAATATTTCTTGATGAGACATGTCTTGAAATAGATCAATCCACCAGCTTGAATGACTTCACCTCAAAAAGGACCTCAATCCTCTGATTAGCAGGAGACGACCCATAAATATGTGATTTCTCTCCAGCAAATTCATCCAATCCTTCCGCTCGAAGATAACATTGCATACCAGGCAAAACTACATTTTCGGTTCCACAGTCTGTTCTCACACGCTGTGAGCAGCCAACCAATATCTTTAACACAGTTTAAATAAAGTTCGGGAATAACCTGTGGATTTTTATTTGATCTTAGCACTTCTAGCCAAAGTACTCGCCTGCTGTAACCACAAATGGCACCATGAATTGCAAATCCATATGGTAGTAATTTATCATAGCCTTTACAAAAGAAAAATAATTACTTGCTAGCCCTTGTTTGTACTGTAGTAGTTAACACAGGTGGAATCTCTCCAACCCCTCTAATAAGTGTTCAAACCCACCGAAATTTCGCTTCAGCCCTCCTATTTTGTGTGAAAGGCTTTAACCCTAACCCCTGCCAAAACTCACTTAGTGGTGCCGCTTGCACCCCGCTAGAAATTTTTCTACTCCTCCTTTCAAATAAATGAAAATCCACCCTTGATAGTTATGTCAATACAGAATTACAAACAAGTATGATGGTTATGAATGCATTATTGCATTGTTTCTTTTACATACTGTATTCTCATTAAATGAAAATGAGACATTCCAAAAATTATCACAGCCGGGCCACAAAAAAGTTCTATGCAGTACTGTTACTTAATATCTCGATGGCTTAGTGGTACGAATTTAATGCTATTTCTAGTAGCCGATATCTAAAAAAAAATTTTTCCTGACTATGACAAGAAAAAATAGTCACAAAAATTTTCCCCATCAATGTCTACTTAAAAAGATATAAATTTCACAAGTTCACCAATTCCTGCTTTTGGGGGCTATCCCACTGAGCTCTACTTAATATATCTGGAGATCGTGCTCCAATACCTCGTCAGTCAAAAATGTGTGGCCAAATTTACGTCATTTTGACGTCAAAATCGACCTAAATTTATGGTGAACACCACTGACCTAAAATACTAAAGTGAAGGAAAAAGTTATTCACACCCCCCTTTCAATTTGCTTAAAGCAGAAGGAGGTAAATTCAAAATTTCGGTCGGAAATTTCAATGTTTAAAGCGAGACATTTGCAACCATGCCAACTTTTTGTTCAATACCTGGTTGCCAAAAATCTACTGAAAGAAAGGACCTGTCTTCACATGGGTAAGGCTCATATAATATGTTTTTTTTTGTAATAATTTAACGCATGCTGTATAATTGAATGCGTATTAAAATTTGTGGTCTTTGTGAATTAATGAAATTTTAATATTGGCAAGCAACTCACAATACAATACAATTTATGTTAGTGAATCCTTGTATTTGAAATTTTGTAACTTGGCTATTTATTGGTGTACTACAGTGCAAAAGCTGAAAAGCAGAACAATATTTAAAATGTTGACCGGTTTGTGGAGCTGTTGTCGAGCAATGGCGTGTCACGTATGGCACTACTCAGGCGCTACTAAACCTTATCACTGTCACTGACCTTATCAATACAGTACAGTACAGAAATGCAAGGCACCTGGTCTAAAATCCTATCGATATCCTAACAGATAATTTGTTTTATAATGCTATTGTATAAAACAAAGTCAAATGAGAATTTGAACAATATGATGATATGACTAGCTTTAAAATTAATGTAGAAAGCCTTTCAGTCGTTGTATTGTCTTTATTGTGGACTAAACCATGTGTTGTTCAGTGTGGCATTGTTTATTTTGTAAGTTATATGTATCGTATTGCACAGTGTAACTAGACACTAAAAACAATTGTTCATGTACTTTTGAATTGCTTTCCAGATGAGAAGAGATTCCCTGAATTGCACAGCATATGGGTGAAGAATATAAGCAAACTTATGCCAGTGAAGTTTGTTCCTATGAAAAATAGTCGTTTGTGTTTGAAGCATTTTAGTGCAGATATGTTCGAGAAGGGTTATAGTCAGAGACCAGTGTTAAAGCCATATGCTGTACCAACAATCTTTAATGATTGCTTTGGTCAGGTGGGTTGTCGTATTTACAGTTTAGGGAGCGGTCATTATTTATGGTGGGGAGTGGCACCAAAGAGATTTAAAATGGTTAGGTAAACAAAATTTCGAGTAAGTAAAAAGGTGGGTAAATGAAAACTCAAGCGTTGGGTAAGAAAAAAATGTTCCATGCCAAGCATGTCTTTAGTTACTAAAATATTGAAGACTAAAAAGCAATGTCAACAATCATGTGTCAATACAATATGTGAATCTACCAGAATCACGATCTTGATATTTTCAGATTTGTCGGGAGACAAATAATGTCTCCAAAGAAACTACATAATTGTACAGACAATATAAAACTTTAGACTGCAGAAAATTTCACAAACCGTTATCAAACTCGTGTCACAGAAGTGGTACCGGTAAAGGACATGTGTCACAATTGAATGGTATCCTTTTGTAAAGTTTTGGCCAGGGGTGGGTATTTATTTTTTAATTGATTTTCAAGGTTGGGCAATCAAATTTTGTACTTTTTCACCCATTTAGTTGCATTGCGCCCTGATGCACCCTACTTTAGTACGTGTCTTTGGTGCCACCCACCACCATAAATAATGACATGTCCCTTATTATGAGTGTATCAGTATAATTAATTAACCCATTAAACACCAGCACCCTCCCATTGATGAGTAAAATTGTCTGGCATTAGACAGAGTAAAATGCTAAAGTAGGGTGCATCAGGGTGCAATGAGACTCAATGGGTTAATGGTCATACTGTACAAGAGGGGTAATTAATACTGAATTTTAACACTATTCAATGATTAATGCCTGGCATACTGTAACTGCCAAAGTTACAGGGATGTAAAGATGCTGTCATGCAACCTCTTTTGCATGGGCCTTTTGATATTGGATAATTGGACAAACCTTAATTTTCATACAATCTATGAATCTAATATATTTATACAATATATATTAGATTATCTACAATATATGTAATTATTATATATATCTACAATATATATTGTGTTATTACCTCTGACACCAGCTCAGTGTATGAGGCAAAGAGCAAAGGCACACAATAGAAAAAGATTGATACAAAAAAGTCCTTTTACAAGTTAGAGCATAAAAATATTTTTACAAATAAATGAGACAGTGTTTATGAATTAATCATATGGAAGGTTTTCATACCTTATAAACAAACAAAACCTGGCAATTTTTTTCAGAACACGTATCTCTAAACATTTGGACATTCTTGACATCCTCTACTGTTGTTGTGGCATGGTTATCAGCAAAAGCTGCCAGAATCTTTTTTTCCTATTGTTAACAAATCTCTTTCTTCCTCTAAAAAGAAAGCTGCTGCTCACATCAATTGATAGGTAGCTAATTGATGAATTACATCATTAGTTAGTAACACTAACCTTAATAGTTGAACATCCTAAAGTATGTACTGTAATTTTGTAAATAATTTTCATATTTTTCAAAATATTTCTTAAATTTGTATTTGTCAGCTTTGGGTGAATAGGCTTATTAAATATGATTTTTGCCTTTCTTACAGGTACCGGTACAAATGGAGTTGTTGCCTTTGGATATGTCAAAGGTTGTTCGTGATGATGAAAAGTTGTCTGAAAAGCAAGAGGGTATAAAAGTCACTGAAGACAGCTCTATGATTAATGCAGAGCTGGGTAGTGGTATTGTAACTACCAGTACTAGAGAAAAGAGAAAACACTCTGAAGAGAGTGATTATATTAATGAGGTGCCTATCCCTCAAAAACGAGCGTGTATGGGTA